TATATGGATGAATGAAGACAAGGAATGTAGAGCTTCATCTCTATTAGTCAATAACCATGACCAATGGAATTCTAGTTCATTATCCATAGCCTTCTTAAGGTATGGAACAATTTCAGAGAGGCGATTAGAAGAACAAAGGTTAGGATTTACAACTTTAGGTATTTGTGTATAATCTGAGTACAAAAATGAGGCGATTTGGAGTTGGGATGAGAAAATTATAGTTGTTCAAAGTTAGGATAAAGATTTGGTACATACTCTCACTCTTTTGAGGTTTTGCAGAGTTGTACAAAGGTTTTTGGAGATTGGAAGGTGCGGCTAAGAAGGTGTTTTCAGGACCTACACCTTTTAGAAAAGAATTGATAAGATTGGAGTTAACGTGAAGGAGATATGGCTAATTGAAGATGGAAGATAGAAAGCTAGAGTTTGAAGAAGGTGCACTTTGTAAAGATTCGGGTTTTGAGCTATAACTTGAGTTTAAGGAAGAATTTGAAGATGGAACTTTCTATTAATGTACTTCATGTTATATAAAAGCTATATATAAAACTTTTGTGTCCTTTGGATATTGGATTTTTTAGTTATAATAGAAATTGTACATGGATGTCTTTAAAAATGGTGTTATAAATACCAATTAGAGTTTGCAAGATATCTAAAAATTAACTCAGAATTAATAGTTGAAATTTGGTGTAAAAATTGTCATAAGTACATTAATTCTCTTGATAAAATTTAAGTTGATTTGGACAGTCGGATTAGTAGATATGAACTATTAAAGTTCAAAAAAAGTTTCTCGTAAAGTGAAACAAGGATTTGAAGTTACTGCAAATTTTTTTGAAGATATCCACTAATCGAGAAAGAATCTAAGGTTCAATATTTTTTTGTGGTAGCAGTTAAAAGAATGATCTCTCTACTTGTAAAAATTTAGCACAAATCAACGGTTAGATCAAGAATTATGAATTTTTCTAAACTTTGGCAATTAAAGTCCAATATATAAAAGGGTTTTAAGTAAACGTACTAAGTAAATATCTACAAAGTTTTGCCTATTTTTGAATCCAACGAGAGACCTTGGGTCTACTTAAAATAAACTTTTGCCATGACAGTGAGAACTTGGGATGGATTTTTGACGCTAAAAAAGCCGATCTAGTCTCACAAAAGGTGCTGTTAATGTCGAGAACAAGATTTAGTCACTTCAAAGGCCTCATGTTTTCAATATCAAAAACACTACGGAATAGATGGTCCTGAAGATAAGATAAGTAAAATTAATAATCAATGAAAAGAAACAGTTGGAATTACCTGATGAAAGGCAAAAGAGATATATAAAAGAAATTGTCAATGATGCCATAAATTGTATCCCATACATCAATAGAGGAAAAATTTCTCATTTGGAGAATTTACCACTATTAGACAGTGAACAATCTCATCCACTCTCAACTGAGAAAATAAATGAAACAGCAAATAATAAATGAAAACTGTCAAATATCTTAATAAATTAAAAAGAAAAAAAATTATATCAAAATGTTCATTTGAACCAAGATTACACTTGCAATCCTAACAAAATTGTCTACACACTTCCAAAGATTCCAAGGTAGTTTCGTACTTTGATCAATCAAAATTTGTGAACGTTGGATCCCTACGTGCCAACATATCCAAATAAGATCTTAAAGCCACTAAAACCAGACTAGAAATACAAACCTTCCATCAAGTCATGGGGAGACAAACAAAGAGTTGAGAGAAAGGCAAGCCAACCTTGTCAACGTGAGATTGGTGCATCTCGCCACCTTCAAGAGATAACTTGAAGTCCACTTAATCTTCAATCTTTACAAACTCATCATCTTCTACAACCAAGCCGACGGATATACCATTCTTACAGTGCTCTCCACAAGGTTCATCTCAATGCAAATGATGTAGATCAGTCGAACCAAAGAATCTCTCCTCTTAGGATCTCTCTACAAAGAAAGTCAAAGTTGAAGCAACCACAAGAGTCACTTGAGAAACAAACTTATCCTCGACTTGAGGATAAGTGGAAGTTGGCACCACGACAAAATTCGGCAAGCCTGATAGAGATAGCGCCGGTGACATCAATGCAGTCTAAGAAACATTGGCTTGAAGAAGCAACAAAGCCATCTATTGCTTGAACTGTGCTTGAAGTTTAGCCTTCAGTGTTGCCGCTAAGCGCTCTTTATCTCTCAAGGCTTCTTGATGTTGTTGTATCATCGCAGCTTCCATCTTTGCTTGTTTACGCTTGAAAACTTTGAGCTGCTCCTAGAGATCTTATTTTTCCTTCTGCTCTTGAAGTTGCATAATGAACATGTGTTGGAAGTAATCAGCTCCGGGTTCATACTTCACAACATTGCGAAGGAGAGGGACTTTTCTAGGTGCATTGAAAAATAATTTTTTATTGACACCCAATGCAACTGTCTTATTCAGATTCGTCTCAACTAGTACTTCAACCTCAGTGGGATCTGTCATTCGTTGCCTTTGTAATAGATATTGATCACCGTCATCATCACTCAAATCTCCAAGATTAATGATAGGAATTTCTTTGGAATAAGTTAAGGATGTTCCCAAAATTTGTGTATCGTTGCTAGAAGCCCCAATGATAGTAGTTTGGCATTCAACACTAATAGCCAATTGCGCATGTCCAAGATTGACAATTTGGAGCTCAGCACTCTGATGTAGAAAAAGCTTGCGAAAAGACTCAACTACTTGAGCATCGAGAGCTGTTAGATTAATTCATGGCACTTAAAGCATCAGAAGGAGAGAAATGAGATGATGGTCCACCTTGGTTAGCATCGACTTACAAATCATTAGCAGAGGAACTTCCAATAGTGTTATCCACGTCAAAATCCACTTGGACCATAGTGTTAGAGCGCAATATAGAAGTATCGACCACAAATAGTGAACGTTGTACTTCATTGGTTGAAGTATTTAGACTTGAAATAAATCCACCACTGCATCAAAGAGACGAGGCAAAATCACGGCCGAATCCACTAAGAACCGACTTTGCAACGATGGCTGAGGATGCTTTATGCTGTCAAGGAACTAACTCAAAGTAGGTGCAATTTTTGTGAATGAAATCATTTATTTCTAACCTCAAATATTCTTTTGCAATGAAATCATGTAGTGAACGAGATTGCTTATCGATAAGCTCGTAGAATGATGTCCCATGCATCTGCAAGTAATCCATACATTTAAAAATCAGTATTTGAAAGACAATGAAGTGAATCTAATGTACCATGTTCAATCCAATACATCATTTTTTTGAACCAAAATAGAGTAAAAAAATCAACATGCAGCTCAATTCTATCCTTGACTTGAGAATAAAAGACAATACAAAAAGAAACATATGAAATACTAAAATAGACAACTTATAAGATTTGCAAGCATAAACTTCAAAGTAGATTACACTCCATATATCCTTTCCTTGCAATTGCAGAAGTCCACTAGAAGTTTAAGATAGAACTTCATCTGCAATTCAGAGCCGATCATTGCATAACACACCTCCAAGTACTTGTATTTTTTTATATAATATAATACATCGGCAGTAGAGTGTTTGGGCTACACCTTTCCTCTTAGCAAAGCCGCCTGTGGATTGTCTTTCTTAATTAAAAAGAGAAGTGTACCACAGAGAACTTCTCCCTTGAAGTCCTATAATTGAGGTGTTCGTTTGACAACGACATATACATAGAGGATTTCAGATGGTATTCTTGCATTTGCTTCTCTAAGACTGGTAGATCTATTTCAAGTTCAGGGTTTACAAGATTCCTATTAGTATGCTTCTCTAGGAAGCATTCCCATAGCTAGAAGACGTCATTGGGAAGCGTTATCACCTTGATTTCATTCATAATATCCGACGTCTTCTTTACATGCTTTCTTTCCTTAATGAGGTCAATATTTTGGAAGCGGGCCACGATAAGCTTACCAAATTACCTGCAAAAAAGGAAAAATGATACTTGGTAATTAAAAAACACCAACGTCTTCAAAGAAATCCATATCGCCTATTCTTGAATCAAAGATAAAATGATGACCAAGAAGAAATGACAAATTTGCATCCTTGAATCCAAGTCTAACACGAAGCAACAATAGAAAGATCAAGCAAAGAATCAATCATCAAAGCAAAACAATTCCATGAAGATAATTTCATATCCTTGATTTGAAGAAAAAAATAATTGAGAGCATCCTACTGTGTATTTAGTAGGATTGTTGTGAGCTGTCAAAACAGCTCAATCTTTTATTTTTACTTCAAATCAATTAAAATTCAATAGTTAGGATAAACTTAAGCTAATTAGGACTTATGGGTGGCTAAAATCCTTGTTAAATGGATTATTTTTTCCAAATAGATATTCTTACTATTCTAAGAAATAAGCTCAATAAATTAATAGAAAATTTAGATGATAATATAGTATATTATCTAAATTTAATAATAAAATGACTATCTTAAGTTAAGATCAATTATACTAGCTTAATCTGTTATTAGAAAGTAGTAGAATCCAAAAAAATGGAAATTCTATGAATTTTGGTAATTCTCAAAAATTACCAACTTTTAATTGGTTTAAGTCAAAATTGTTTGGCAAATAGTGATTTTAATCACCGTATTAAAATGCATCTAGTTGAAGAAAATAATGTGAGTTTATTTAGGTTATTATTATTATTTAATTCAATTTAGATTAAAAGGTAGTAGTAAGAAGTTCTTGAAGTATTTTAGTAAAATTACAATAGTCAAAAATTGTAATTAGTAAATTGATTAGAACATAGGTTTTTAAACTTGGATTTGGACATACAAATAGTCAATCCTAGGATAAAAACGTGTTTTAAACACATTGGTGGTGTTAGTTTTGCTGAAAAAATAGTCTATTGTTAGTTATAGGCGAATTCAGCCCTGAAATCGGGCTTAGGCTTAGAGGCATTTTGGGCCCTTGATCTTGATTAAGGATTTGTAGATTAAGGGTGGGGATGTGGCCGCCACCCTAGGGCCGCCTTGCACTTGGTTAAAAGGAGCTTGGGTGGCCATTCTCTCCCTCTCCTCTTCTCTTGGGCGAAGCCATGGCAATTTGGTTCCCCACCTTATCATTTTCCTTGAGATACGGTTCCTTGCATTGTAAGCTAGATACTTAGAAGTAGGACGTGAAAATTTAGGAGTAGTTGGATCTTGTTGTTAGCTTTCCATAGACATCAAGCACACTTGAATCCGAGCTAAGACAAAGGAGTTAGGACGATTTTACTGCCAGGGGGTCTTCTGCCGGGCAGATTCGAAGGACTCACTTTGAAGGGCGATTGCTGGCGGACCACAACGCGTTTGGAGCTGAGTTTTGGATGCTGTTAGATCTTGAAGTTAGCTCTCCAGAAAGTGTAAGCGCGCTCAAAACCAATCAAGGACAAAGCAACAGCAGCTGTTTTAGTGAAGGGGGGTCTATTTCGCGGATTGGAAGCATCAACTAGGTTATATATTTTCTATTTTTACTTTTATCTTTCCATAATTTTAACTTTTATCTTTATCTTTACATTTTACCTTTTTAATGGTCATCTCACTTTAATTTTATATTTTTACTTTTTACTATTTATCTTTTACATCTTGTTTTGACCTCTTACTTTCACCATAGTTCTGTTATCATTGTCATCCATCTATAAATCCAATGGCACATTGCTTGGAAAGAGTTTAGGTGATAGTATTACAAATGCTAACAACAAAAATACTAAAAAATCTAAAAACAATTAATTTGAAAATTCAGTTATAAAAAAATATCAAAAAATCAATGTGGTAAGCTTTTTGGCTCACAGTCGTATACAACACCGTTTCCCCGTGCTACCCTCTCGTTCTGCTGGAAGCTGGGTCTTCTAGAATCAAGCTAGATCCGTCGACAGCTGGAAATCTGGTTCCCTCATGTTGGCTGCGCGTGATCGAGGTGATTAGTATCATTGTAGAACTTGGAAATCCTCTGCAGCTTCAGAGGATCTTTAGTCCGTACAACATATGCATTTCATTGTTGGGGTGCCTTTCTCTGCTCCTCTCCACAATCCACATTCTCTTGCAATCTCTGCGAGGCAATCGTGCTGTGATGTCCATTGATGAGCATGAACTTGCAGTTCTTGATTTCTTTCCAACTCTCCAGTTTCTTCTTCGTCGGCTCACCATCGTCATCCACAGGACAGACGTAGGTCTTCTGGCGCTAGTTTACCTCTCCAAGCTGCACGAGGAAGTCCATAGTGCTCCTCACAATTGCCTCCTCCAGGCCTCGGATCACAAACTAAGGTTTTGCCAGGACGCACTTCCCAATGTTCATTGAGTGCGTCGTGATTTCAAACGGAAAACAGCCTTTGCACTCTTCCCAAAGCTCTCGCTGAGCATCCGTAATTTTCTGGAAGCTGGTCCAAGACCAACTCGTGACCCTGAAGGAGTTGCTGCTCTTGTCATCGTGGATGTTGAGCTGCCCCCACCACTGGACCTCCATTTCTTTGCCGTCGGCTCACTTGGTGTTTCTGGGGCTGTAGACTGGCGCCTTAAAGGAACACGACATGCGCTCCTGGGCATAGTTGTTTCTGAAGTCGTGGGTGTTCCGGCCCCAGCTCGTCTCAAATGTTGATGACGGGAAGGAGTAGGGATGACAGGAACAGGCTTGGCTTCAAATGTTGACATTAACTGCAGAATTTGCCTCAGCCGCTTGTTCACTTTCTCTGCATTATCATTAGTCCATGGCTCAAACTTCAGGAATGCATCCTTCAGGGCACCCAACGAGTTTCTCTGTAGAGCAATTCCTTGAAATCGAACTGCCCACTAGATGATCCCACTTTCACAACAATCAAATGACAGTGAGGCAAGTCATATCCGGCTTCATCAAACACTTGGATGCCTAATACAATGTACTCCCTCCGCTGATGCTCCACAAATGTCACCCTCTCCTTTCGGTCAAGGTGCACGTACGGAGTATCACCTCTCTCTCTATGCATTATTTGCACATGCTTCCCACATCTTGAGAGGGACTAGCTCTTCATGCAGTCCTTGAACATCCACAGTTGTCCATAATTTTCAACAACGTCGTTGATGAAAGGCTCTGGTTCCAAGGGATTTACAAAATGTTCCAAGAAGAAATCCGATGCACAGTAGTTGTAATTGTCCGCCACATCCATTGCAGTCATCTGCAAAAATCAATGAAACTACGTGAATTCATTCGGAGATTTTGGTATTTAGATTATTGAATGCAAGTTATCATTGTGACGAGAATGGAACTGCTCTCATCGATAGCAGTAATGACATTGTATCCTTAACTCGAGGATAAATCTGTCTCAAAATTCTTAGCCGCTTAGGAAAAGATTGCAATGAATCGTGGGACATATAGAAATAATGGATTCTGCATGTATTGATACTTGGAGTTTATTAGAATTGTGTGAGGTGATAAGATTTTCTCCAGACCACTTAGATCAGTTCTTTGTTCGTATGATGCTTAGATCATGAATTCAAAATTTTAGTTGATTCGTTGAGACATTTTTCCTACTACTGTATATCCTCGACTCGAGGATACATCCGAGCAACTATGTATCAAAGGTATCCTCGGGTCGAGGATAAATATTTGGAAGCGTGCCAAATATTCCTTGGGTGGTGGCACTTCTAACGATATGTTGTAGAATCTGAGAAATCAAAGATAAATTATCCTTGATTTGTTGTAGTTCAAAGATATGCAATTCACATTCTTAGTCCTCCCGTACGCAAGCACAAAATACAACAATCATTAACTGTAACAACGGAACATGTTGTCATACTGTAATTACTTACAGTATGTAAAAATATATGTTTATGTTTATGAGTCTATAATGAACATGAGTTTATAATAAACATATTATATGTTTATGAGTCTAGATGTGTGTTAGAATGGTTAATAAATCAAATTAAAAATGGTTGATAGAAGAAACTTTATTTTATTTTATTTTTACTTGTTTTGATTATGGTATTGAAAAATTATAAAATCTAAATGCTTAGTATGAAGCTTTGAAAGAAGGTGGGAGCCTAAGGATGAAAATTTAAGCTAGCAGGAGGCTAATTGGGAGGGATGGAATCAAGGCATGGTCGGATGAAGGCATGGTCGGATGAAGGCAAGCAATGGAAAACTTCATCCCTATTGGTTGAATACCATGCCCAATGGGCTTTGAGGAGGCTTCCCGCAACTTTAACAAGGGTTTCGACAGTTTCAAGGAGGGCATTACAAAATCAAAAGCAAGGGTTGTAAATTTTAGAATTTTGGCTACAATTTGTGTACAAAAATTAGAGAATTTGGAGTTAAGGTAAAGAAGTTATAGCCGTTTGAAGTTAGGGTGTCAATTTGAGACATACTGTTACTCTTTTGAGTATAGGAGGAGTTGTACAGTAGCTATTGGAGATCGGAAGGCGTGGCTAGAACGGCAATTTTAAGACCTACATCTTTGATGAAAGAATTGTTGCATTTGGAGTTCATATAAAGGAGCTATAAGGAGTTGAAGGCGGCGCTTCTAAATCAAAGGTAGTAAGTGGGCGGTTTTGTTCATAGTAATGATTGGAGCCATAACTTGAGTTTCTAGACGAATTTATGGCTCAAACTTCTTGGAGAATGTGACATATTGTGTTGAAAAGCTATACATACAAATTTCATGGCATTTGAACTTATAGTTTGTGAGATATGAAGAAATTTGTATGCGAGTGTATAAAGACTAGGGTTTGAAGCGATTGTTAGGGTTTTCAAGATATCTCAAGATTTGCAATGAATTTGTAGTTGAAAATTGTTGTGGAGGTTGATAAGAATACATCATTACCTCATGTAAAATTTTACTATGTTTGGACGGTCGGATCAGGAGATATGAGGTGTTGAAGTTCGGAAAAAAAATCCCCCTCATGGGTGGATAAGGGTTTAAATCAATTTGTTATATTTGGATGTTTTGTGAACTTAAGGCTTATGTATTGGATGTAATTGCCTTATAGGCAAGACTTTTATATAAATATAGGGAGATTTTGTTATTTTCAAACTTGGTTGAGTAATTAGTAGCAGCTAGAGGCCCAACGCTTTCTTGAGGCAAACTCTCTCTACCCCGAAAACATGATTATTAAAGAAGGGCATGTATGTGCACGGTACACTACCAAAAATCCTACTAAGTGTTGATGCCGACCTACGACCTTCTACACTAACGTGCACACGAGAGTTGGCTATGAAGTTGTAGCAATACAATACGGCAGCAACAACAAAAACTCTCTTCAACAGTGCGTGCACAGATATGCACACAAGAGTTGGCGGTGAAGTCGTCGCAATACACTAGGGCAACAACAAAAAAACCCTCTTTAAAGTTGTTTACGGCACAAAATAGTGCATTTCTTGTCCACACTTAAGACTTCCCAAAATTAAGAACTCATATGCCACAATGTTTTGAGAGAACCTCCTATCTTAATAACTATGTACAAGAGAACCTATACAAAATCCACAAGTATAAAAACACGAGATGTACAAGGTACGGGCGAGAAGAGTTCTGAGTATGCACAACGAGAACATAATGAACAATACAGCCAATATCTCAACAACCACTACCAAACAAAGAAGACGACGTAATTTTAGGCAGACTATTGTTGAACCGGGCAATTGGGCAGTCCGATACAACTATTTATATATCAATATATATATATATATATATATATATCCATATGTATATAGATATGTGTATATACATATATAAATATGCTTGTGCATACCTGAATATATATACATATCCATATATATTCCATATTTTGGGTCTTTCTAAATAGAAATATATATATGTAAAATTTTGTGATGCATAAAAAATTCTATGGTTTTAAGCTTTAGAAGCCTTGATTCAAAATAATTTTTTAGGTCAGTAGAGCATCTTCTCAATCAAATTTTTGTATGTGGATAAACATTTTGTAGGTTCTAATGGTTTTTCTTAGTAGAATGAATGATTTATACTAACATCTTGAAATATTGATAAAATCACATTATATTTTGATTTATGTAAAAATACACATCCAATATCGTCTATTACAAATTATAATGTTTTAACATTTCAATTTGAAAGCTTTCTTCCAAGTTGTCTTGAAAACTTCATTATTGAAATGGCAATGTACTATTAAGAATTTATAATGAGATATTCTTATTCTATTTGTAGTAGTCTTTTCTAAATAAAGTAAAAAAGAGGAAGAAATTATCATTGTTGTTGTAATTTTTGTAATGATTTGTGTTTTTAGCTTGTAATCATCTCAAACAAATATTGTATATAATTATGTGATAGAAAGTAGTAAAATTAAACTTTTGTTCAATGTATTTCAAATGCATGTCATAGAATATAATTTTGTTTAGTTCATGGAACTTGAGATTATGACTTTAATCTTCAATGCACTGAATTTAATAATTAAAATACATGTGTCAATGACATCATTAAGGAAGAAAATGATAATTACATCCTTACAATACATGGTATTATAATAAATTAGCACTTGTATTAATATATACTCTTCTTGATGAGTGAAGATGCAATCTTCATTAATACTTCCATTCAGTGAGTTGTTCTTGAAATGTGACATTAAATAGTGATGAAAATTTCAACTTCTATTTTTAGTATTATAAACTCATTATAATCTGCTCAAATTATATGTTATATCATTGAAATGAAGCCCTAAAAATGTACAAATATTCCTATTTTAAGAATGATGGCACAACTACATGAAAGTTGATTGTGATGACAAGAAAAATACAACCCAATCGGCCAAGTAAAGAAGGCATTTTGAAATTCGTCTTTTATAGTGTTCCCGCCTACTTTTGTAGACGTCGTATGGCGTGAACTTCTACCTAGGAATACACTAGGTACCTGGTTGTGGAAAGTTTATTTGAAACCTTTTTGGCTAAACTCCAATAAGTGATTTGTCTTTAATAAAAGGACAAATAATACAAAATATTCCAAAAGAGAAGTTATATAAATAAACCCTCTTATATTCAAGTAGGTTTTTATAAAAAAGGATTCAAAGTTCTACAAAAATCCTTCAAAATATATTTTCCTGCAAAAGAATTATTCCTTGTTGTACTTTGGAGTTCAATTACTCTTGATTCAACCATTTAGTTTCTATGAAATCTTCTTCAAAGTGTAGAAAATCCTCTTAAGTTTCACCACAAAAGAAAATTAATTATAAATTCGTTTCCGATCGTCTGATATCTCAAAATCCCTAGCAAGTGCTTAAAACCCTAGCTCAAAGACACCTGAGCACTATTTTCCTTATATCTCACAAACCCAAAATCCTAATGCCATAATATTTTTGCACATAGTCTTGTGACATAAACATATATAACCCTGAAAATTTTGAGCCAAAAATCTATCAATTTGCCTAAGATATAGCTCAAAATGTAACCACTAGTTAAGCGGGGTAACTTACTGCCTTTAACTTACAAGCATTGACTTCAACTCCCAATATCTTCTTCACCATAGCTTGGATTTTATCAAGCCTTAAACAAAAAGTGTAGCCAAAAAAGTGCTCTTTCCAACTCCAATTGCCAATTATCTTTTGTCTTCTGTACGAACGCGTTATGCTTAAAAGAGTGACAGTAGGTAGAATTTTGACACCCTGACTTTGAGCGCCTATAACTCTTTCATAAAAAGTCCAAATCATGCAAAATTTTCACCAAAACCATATCCAAAAACCTAAACCTGATGACCCTAGCCTCTGATATTCGAATTCCTCTAAAAAACAAACCCTGATCTCCTAATAAGGCCTCGGGCAGCCTCCTTAAAGCCCATTGGGCATGATTTTTGGCCAATTAGAATAGAGATTCCTATCATCCACCTCTATTCATCCACATGGATGGCCAAACTATCCTTTTTATACTAAAAACCCCTTTTTAATCCTTTTTCTCATAAGATTTACATATTTTGTGTTTTGAATACTAAATTAAAAAATAAACTAAGTTTTTAAAGGTCACCAATGTCTAACAAAGGTGATTAAAAATATGTAAAGTTGTCATCAATATAAAATCAATCTCGAAATCATTATCAAAAAGAAAATAAGGTTGTATAAACCTCTATAATAGCCTTTTAAATAGATCCCTTTCAAACTAACAATCTAACTATACTATGTAACCAAAACAAATCCATTCATATGGCTCAAATTTAGCTGTGAAATAAATTATACATTAAATATATATATACAACATTTTT